ATTTCTCTTTCTGGAGCAGCTTCTCCATTTAAATTCCTTTCAGGCAGTTAGGGCGAAGGTCAGAGGTTTTTCTGAGCCTTTTGTTTCTTAAAATAAACAGCTTAAAATAATATCCAAAAGAATATTTTGGGGTAGCAAACTCTGCTCACCCTCACTGTATAGCATGATATGATATCATGTAGTATAGCTTGTTTATTATTTCAGAAGAATGTAATTTCCAGAGGCCTGAGACTTCGTATTTTTCACTACTGTTCTCCTATCACCTAGTTTGGGGCCTGGCATGTAGTAGATGATCAATAAATTTTTATTAAATAAATACATATAAAATACTACCTTGTTTAATGCCCATAACTGCTCTGAAAGGCAGGTACTATATATCCTCATTTTTCAGATGGGGAAACTGAAGCCTAGAGCAATTAAATTTTCCAAAGTCACAGAGCTAGAATGTAGTAGCAAAAGATTCAAATATTCTCAGTCTGATCCCACACTTCATGTTTGTTTATATTGAATTGTGCCTCCCCAACAGGTGATAAAGTCCTAATCCCTGGTACTTGTGGATGTGAAATTAAGGTATATTCTTAGGCAATTTTTGCTATAATGCTTCTTCAAAATGAATAAGTAATAATTCCAAAAGAAGAACTGGAAATAAACATTTCAAACAGTGGCAGCAATGTTGGGAGTACATGCAAATTTCTCAAACAGCCTAACTCTTTTCAAGAGCAATAATTATTTGGATATTTGAATTTCAGAGGTTTGTTTTAAATGCAGTCTTACTATTTTACAGTTTTTTTCTAGATGCCATGTATCAACTGGAACTTTGTGAGCTTTTAATAAAATAGTTTGAGAAGCAACTAGGTTGACTGTGAAGGAAAATAATTAGTGCTTTGTAAAGGAAATCAACATGCTGCATAGCATTTCGAGTTATAGCTAGCTATGTCAGTGAAAGGTTAATAAGGTAGAATAACTTGAAGCTGTGTAACAGCTCCTATGTGAATATCACAAAAATATAAGTATGTATACTTGATCTTCAATCACCTAAAATGTTAAGGACCCAAATGCCTTGGATTAGAATTATGCTCTATAATTTGATAGCCACTGGCTGGACACGTAGCTGCTGCACACTTGAAATGTGGCCAGCACAAATGAGGTACTCAATTTTAAATTTTATTTGATTTTAATTTAAATGTAAAATGAATGTTCAACTTTAGTTATTGGAAAAGTTTTAAGTATTTCTGTAACAACTTGGGTATATGCATCCTAATTGTACCCAACTGGGTACCATTTCAACTATAAGTTTTATAAAATCTAATTTAAGTACAGAACAAGTATTTCTATTAAAAATTTGGCATTCAAATTGAGATGTGCTATAAGTGTAAATACATACTAGATTTCAAAGACAAATTTAGAAAAAATACAGTAAAACATCTCACTAGTAATTTTTACATTGATAACATATTGGTATGATATTTTGGATTTATTAGGTTAAATAAAAATATTTAAAAAATAATTTCACCTGCTTCTTTTTATTTTTTTAAAAGTGTGGCTACCTGGAAAACTTTAAATTACATATGTGGCTCACGTTATATTTCTGTTGGATGACTTGCTTTAGACCAGCTGTTTTCAACTGTTTTCATCTCATGGCATACATAAACTGATTAATGAAATTCTGGGGCATGCCAAAAATATATTTTTTTGCTGATCTGAAAAAAAATAGGTATGATTTTGAGTCCTTTATACTGGATGGCTACTGTATTGACTGTTGTCATTTTTTTAATTTGACAGTCTCAGGGAAAAGAGGTCAGTGTCCCTGACTAAACAGTCAGGTATTGCATGTTTTAAAAATTCTTGAGGCACTCCAGTTGAAAATCGCTGCTCTAGACCAGTTATTCTCAAAATGTGGTCACTTGACCAGCAATATCATCTGAGATCTTGTTAGAAATGCAAATTGGTGAGCTCCACCCAGACTTACTGAATCAGAGACTTGGGGGTGGGGACCTGGTTTAAAAAGCCCTCTGACAGATTCTGAAGCAAGCACAAGTTTGAAAACCATTAATCTAGGCCAGTGGTTCTCGTCCTGGGCTGCACGTTAGAATCATTTGAGGACCTTGGGCAACAAATCCTTGTGCTAAAGCTACAACCCACACCAATTAAGTCAACTACTCTTGGCATAGACAAGAGTGATTTTTATAGCTCTCCAGGTGATTTTATTACAGGATAAAGATTAAAAACCACTGGTCTAGGTCCTTGACTCTTACACTATGCTCTCCAGGCTCTGCTCCCCATTCCGCTTCCAGAGCAACTTCCACCACGGCTCCCTGTCACAAAGGGCACCACTGCTGTGACTTTTCTTCCTGGATTGGGTGTTACGGGACATGGATGTGCTACTGAGCTCAAGGGGCTTGCTATTTGAGGTGCTTTATTCAAGCATGTCACATGTTGTCACAAGGTAGTTTATTTACTTGCAACAAGAAAAGGAGTCAAGGATTTGTACTCTATAGAGCCCTAGAGTCTCTTGGAGGATGGAACTTTTGCATACATTTTTGCTTAAAGAATAGAATAAGGGTACATCTCTTTAAAATATTCTAGTGAAATGACTCATACATTGATTTCATCAAGCACTAGTGCTCAAATGCCAGTATCTTATAGCTCAGTTTATCAGATATTCCTTAGAGCCAGGTATAGAGCCTGGTGAAGGAAACCAGGATATATAACCCCAAAATATGTAGCTTTGAGGACCACAGGAACCTGCAACACAAACTTCAGTTTGTTTCTTCCCATATATTTACCTTCCCACAGTTTGCCACCCTTTGAAACCTAAAATTGCTTTCCTTTGTCCTATCATCTCTAGGTATTTTCTGTATACGCATATCTTTTATCGCAGTTAGCTTTATTGTACTTCATAGGGTTGCCTTTTTCTTTTAACTAATTGAGGGCAAGACCCTCCACCAGCAAAAAGATTATGGCTTGTTTTATTGCAATACTTGCTTTATTCCAGTGATTTGGAACTGAACCCACAATATCTTTGAGGTATAAGCCTGTACTTGAAATCTCATGATATTACATTATAGTACTGCAATTATATTTTGATTAGAGGTCATTGTGCACTAAACTTACTGGGGCAAGAAATATTTGAATTTGATTTAATTGCATTTGATCGAATATTTGATTTGATTGTAAGTTTAGTATTCTCACCTATGTAACAGAAACTTACAGGTTTCTAGTCCTATTATTAACATTACCAAATGTGTGCAGTGATTGCACAACTATAGTTTCTTCCAAGGAAAATTAAAGCAAGATTTTTTTCTATGTGTTTGTTTCCTTCATTTTTTCCCCCAGTAAAACCTACCCTTACAAACTATTTAAAAGGACTGGAAAATTGCATATTCTGGCCAACAGTTACACAGAACTTGGAACTGCACATGAATATACAATATAGCTCCCCTAGTTAGGCCTTGTATTGTTACCACTCAAAATACCTGGAGCTCTTTCCATGAGAAGTAAACATATAGGAGAGAGATGTGAACCTTCTTACCTGCGTTGGCAGGATCTTTAACCCCTTTGTAGTGATGGCTTGGCCAGAAAGCCCACCTACTCATTTTGGGCTACTCCCTAGATTTACACTGGCTTTCCTGTATGTGGATGTTATATCACAGAAACAAGCAAAGACTGGTAATATATCTAAATTTATGTAATAAGAGCTGCTTTATAACAAGGTTCTGTTGTATGAACATTTTTGTTTCATCTTCACTATCTTCTGTTCCCAGGCCTGCTGTTAAAGTGTTTTTGTCACAGTTAAAGCACTGTAATTGTAATGTACTTCAGTTAATTTAAGAGAGTGAGTTTTGCAAAGTATATCTTCTTCTCAGATGTAGAGTTAATTATTTATGGCTTATAAATTGACAGTTGAAAAGTGTTACTTGAATGAAACAAATGTTTAAAAGAACCCTGTGATGCCAGTAAAACGTTCTCTAAATAAAACAACTGTTTCTAGATAATTCAAAGACTAAGCCTAAGAAGCTTCGGGATAGAAGTATGGGCCACAAAACAACTGCTGTGAAAAATCATTCTGATAAGGAAAATAACAATTAGAAGTAAAGAAGATACTGATTGGATGTGTCTAGTTTTTGGATATATGAAACCAAAGAATAATCAATCCTACACACTATCTTTTATATCATTAGGTAGAGATGAGCAGAGCAGAAACCAGGATTCCTATGGAACTGAAAAGGAAACTGGGGTACAGAAACCTTCAGTGTTTGTTGTGTGTCAGACACTCCTCTTGGTTCTGATCTCCTCTTCCATTCCTTGAAACTTGAGGTATAAATATCAATACAAGACCCTCTCTTTTTAGCAAAGAAGAACCTAAAGATGGAGTTCCTCATCGTTATTCAGAGCGAGGTTCTTAAACACCTTGGCATCTAGAACTTAAGACTATACACAGGGCGGACGAGACTGTGAATTGGGCCCTAACACGTCTGCACTCATTTATTAAAATAAATGAGTGCGTGATCTACAAAGACCTGTATGGCGTCCCGGGCTCTCCTCTCCAGCCTGACTCCCCGCTCTACTTGGGCCTGGGCTTTCTGGGTCAAGGGTGGTTTCTTCCTGCCTCCTGCTCCCAGGCATGGCTGGCATCCAGGGCCGTGGGTAGGTGCCTTGAAAGAGCCTAACTTGAAGAGAGAGGTGAAGTTTGATCCTCACCAGTCAGTCATGGTTGTGTGCAAACACCCCTGGGTGCCCCTCGGTGCCCCGAGCAGAACCCTCCCACCTCTCTGCAGCTCTGGCTGCGGGCCTCCTCCGCCAGGGGTTAGGGCGCCCGGGTGGCCGGGGGTCTGGCCTGGGAAACCGGCCGTACTCCCCAGGTGGGTCTCTGGGATGAGAGAGCATTCAGTGCACACCAACCACTTCCACACGTCCCACGTAGAGATGGACTAGCACAGCTGTAATTACAACCGCGATGGTGGTGAGGGGCTGCCCGGGCAGGGAGCGACTCCCGCGGCCGCCTCCCCCAGGCTCCCGCAACGCCGCCAGGGCCTCCGTCTTCCCCCTCTCCGCTCGCCCGCTCGGGCGATCTTCCGACATGACTCAGCGTTTCTCTCAGGCTGTCCTGCCGGGGACACCGGCTTCTTACCGGCTCCTCCCGCCGCGTCCACCCCCTCTCGCCACCCACCTCGCCACCCACGCCTACCCCTGGGCCCTGGGCCCTTCCCCTGCGCCGCCGCCACCGCGCCAGTCCGCTCGGGCGTCCCAGCTGCAGCCGCCTCCGCCCCGCGCGCTCCTCGCTGCCGCTCGATCCGCCGACCACAGCACTGCCGCCATGGAGGCCGCCGCCCCCCGCCGCCGCCACACCCACCAGCGCGGCCGCGCCCTGATGCGGATCCCCCACCTCAACAAGGTAAGTGCCAGGCCCACCGGCAGCCCCACGGCCTGGCTGCTGCGGGTCCGGGGCGGACACCGCCCGCCAGTCCCCCCCGAACAGGGAGTCCCCTCAGCTCGCCTCAGCGTCCGCTCCTTCCCGACGATGCCCGCCGAGCGACCGAGGCCGGGGCCCTCAGGGCGACCTCGGGGCCTGGGTTCGGGCGCTGGGACGGGTCTGCACCCGGAGTGTGATGGGCGGGTGGTGCTGGTCCTCCCGCACCGTGGCGTCCCGTTTTTGGACAAGAGACGATGTAACTTGTGTATACTACATGGCTTCTCTTCTCCAAGGAAGAGCCAAGCCTGAGAAAGTGGTATCGGGAAAGTGTGTTGGTGGTGGAGTGCTTTGGTGAAGGTAGCAGGCGGACGGGCAGTCGGTCAGCCTCCTTGTGCCTGCCACCCACCACTTACTGGTTTGACTCAGTGTGGCGGTTCTCCGAGGCTGCCCGGAGAGAAGTGGCCGTACTGGTCCAGCCGAGGATCACATTAACGACCTGGAAGCCAAGGCTTCTTGGTTTCTGGAGTGACACAGTTAAGAGTCTGGGAATGCGTGGTGGGTGGCTTCTGCCTCGAACACTGCATGGCCAGATACAAAGCCCAGTCCTAACCTAGTCCTGGGACTGTAGCTAAAGCCATTTCTACTTTTTGAATCAGGCCTTCTGGAAATTAAGATTTACTTAGAAGGGGAATTCAGTGTACACTCTGTTCAGAATCCCTTTTTCAGTGTCCGTAGTATTTAATTTTTCTTCACAGGTAATGTTAGTATAAACCCTACTTCTCTCAAATGAAAAACAACTCAGAATTTATAATTTTGCTTCTCTAAATACTAAGCAGGCACACTTATTTTGTAGTTGGGTTTGTCTCTGGATTGTCCCTTTTGTGCGTGTGTGTGCTTTGGACATTACCTTTTAATGTAGTACAAAGTAAGTGCCTCCGTCAGCACAGAGATTTGTTTAGTGATTTTGATTGTCTTTTACTGGACACCCTTTTTCATTAAGAACTGGTCTGCATTTTTCCCCCGATGTCAATGTTACTAGTGATGTTTTTGTATGTGAATGTATTTTTTATGGCCGACTAATACACCATTAAATATGTACCACATCTTCTTTATCCAGTCATCTTTCAATGGACACTTAGGTTGCTTCCATATCTTGGCTATTATATAAGAAATGTCCTTTTTTATCTTTTGTTAAGTCTTTGTTTTAAAGTCTATTTTGTCTAAGTATTGCTACAGCGGTTTTTATTTTTTATTTCTATTTCCACGAAATATCTTTTTCCATCCCTTTCAGTCTGTCTGTGTGTGTCACTCTGAGGTGGGTCTCTTATAGGCAGCGTATGTATGGGTCTTCTGTTTTCTGTTCAGCCACCACATGTCTTTGATTGGAGCATTTAATCTATTTACATTTGATGTAATTATTGATAGGTAAGTAGTTACTGCCATTCTGTTATTCATATTTATGATCTTTTCCCCCTTCTTTTTCTTTTTTAAAAAGTTCCTTTAATATTTCTTATACTACTGGTTTGTTAATGATGAACTCCTTTAGCTTTTTCTTGTCTGGGAAACTCTTAACTGTCCTTCGATTGTAAATGAGAACTTTGCTGGGCAGAATAATCTTGGTTGTAGGTCCTTGCTTTTCTTTACTTTGAATACTTCTTGCCAGTCCCTCCTCTCCTACAAAGTTTCTTTTGTGAAATCAGCTGACAGTCTTATGGAAACTCCCTTGCAGGTAACTAACTGCTTTTCTCTTGCTACTTTTAAGATTCTCTCTTTGTCTTTAACCTTTGCCATTTTAATTATGTACCTTGGTGGGCCTGTTTGGATTCATCTTGCTTGAAACTCTGGGCTTCCTGGACATATGTCTGTTTCCTTCACCAGGTCGGGGAAGTTTTCCATCATTATTTCTTCAAATAGGTTTTCAGTCCTTTGCTCTCTCTCCTCTCCTTCTGGTAGCCCCATGACATGAGCATTGTTACCCTCAATGTTGTCCCAGAGGTTCCTTAAACTATCCTTATTTTTTATATTCTTTTTTTCTTTTTGATGTTCTAGTTGGGTATTTTCTGCTACCTTGCTGATTTGGTCATCTGCTTCATCCCATCTGCTGTTGATTTCATTTATTTGTGTTCTTCATTTCAGTTATTGTATTCTTTGTTTATGATTGACTCTTTTTTATGATTTCTGTCTGTATAATTTCTCACTAGTTCATCTGTTTTTCCCCTAAGTTCATTGAACATCCTTATAGCCAGTGTTTTGAACTCTGTATCTGGTAGATTGCTTGCCTACATTTTGTTTAGTTCTTTTTCGGAGTTTTGTTATGTTCTTTCATTTGGGCCATGGTTCTTTGTTTTTTTATTTTTTGTTTTGTTTCTTTTTCACTTTGGCTGCCTCCCTGTATTTGTTTCTACATAATTATGTAGATATGCTATGTCTCCCAGTCTTGGCAGGGTAGCCTTATGTAGTAGGATATCCTGTGGAGCCTAGTGCTGCAAACTCCCTGCTCACTTCAGTTAGGTACTCCAGGGGTATCCCTTTTGTGGATTGTATGTGCCCTCCTGTTGTTGCTGTGGCACATCAGTGGGTGGGTTTGATCCTGAGGTTGCCCGGCTGTGAGGACTGGCCGTTACTATAGTGGATGAGCTGTTGTTTGGGGGCTGACCCCATGGATTGGGATTCAGTTGAGCAGTCTCTGGTGCCTTCCCAGTTCACCCTTTGGATGTGTCATTTGTGGTGCTAATTGGGTGGTGCTCTTGTGAGGGCTGAAGCTGGCCACTAGGTGTGTTGGTTCTAGGGCCTCTTGGGAGAGGCTTCCGAGTAGGCCCTGGTCTGCCACTGTCTCTGTCCAGCCTGGTGCTATCTGGTAGGAGATACAAAGTTGTCTGTGGTTGGTAGCTGCCTGTGCTGGGCTTGGAAGTGCCTGGGAGAAGCTATGCTGTGAACCAAAGCCTCTGTCACTAGTACTGGGCTCCTGACTACTTAGCTAGAGATACAGGGTATGTGGAAGCCAGTTGTTGCTTGTTTGGGGTTCATGAATCTGAGAGTTTTTTTTTTAAATCCCCAGAGTAGGTCAAGGCTAGCAGTTTATGAGAAACTGCTGCTGGAAAATTTTCCTTCTGTGTGCCATGTGGGTGAGGGGGTGTCTCAGAGAATCCCCTGGGTGGGGAGAGCTATGTGTGAGGAGAGCTCAGCAAAGGAACAGTGGAGCCTCTTAGTACTTCAGTCCCAAGGGAGTTGCCCCTCCAGCTCTTGCCCTGAAGCCAGAAAATTTGGTTCCCCATATTTCCTTAGCAATTTTCAAGCTGTTGTCCTTTAGCTGGAGCTTGGGGTGAATGTGTGTCTGAACTCGAGACTTTTTTGAGAGGACATCTGGGTCTACAGCAGCCCCCCCCCCCCCTCACTGAGTCCCTGCTGATTTTGACAGCTAGTTGTGTGGGAACACCTCTTTTCAGCACTGGTGCCCAGGGCCGGGGAACCTAGAGCCCCTCGCTTTTTAGTGGGGACCTCTGTAGCCAAGATATCCCTCCCTATTCTTCATTGCCACAGGTGAGTGTGGGGCCAGCCTGTTTCATGTCTCTGCCCCTCCTACCAGTCTCCCTGTGGCTTCCTTATATCCTTAGTTATAGGAATCTGTTCATCCTGTCTTAGGTGGTTCTCAAGGGTGGTGGTTTTATAATTTAGTTGTAATTTTGATGTCTTGGGAGGAGGTGAGCACAGTATTTACCTATGCTGCCAACATGATAGAAATTCTTTGATGGTGCTTCTTTTTATCATTTTTAGTGACTTAAAGACTTGTGATTTCTTCCTTCTTATTTTTTTGTAATTTATTTTATTTAATGAGTTATGGTTAATTTGAGTTCTTTTTGATTTTCGTGGTGACAGGCAACTCTTAAAAATCTATGATTAGTTAGTATTTGTGGACATAAAATGTTATGAAATTTTAAATATTCTTCAAAATGAATTTAATTGCTAGTTTGATTTTTTTCCCTTCCTTTTTTATTGTTCTGCAGGTCTGGGCCTATTTTCAGTAGAACAAAGATAAAATTTGATGTGACAAAACCATTTGTGACTTTCATGTATAGCTGCCTTCTCTTTATGACTAAATAATGGGTTGCCACTTAAAAAGGACCATGTGAATGGAATAACCTGTTTGAAGTCCCTAAGTCAGGGGTAAGACTGTCTGGTTCAAGTGGGTAGCTGGAATATACAATCCTGAGCAAGAATAATTAGGCCTTTACAGTTTATATCAATAATTTACATTAAACTCTTTTAACTTCTGTTTATCAATAAGGGTTACTGTCCACTTGAGAATAATTGTATTACAGAGATTTTCCACCAAAGGTAGAAAGGTGCAGCATTCATGTGTTAACACATTTTTGAATTTGTAATTTAACTTTATTGTCTGCATAGTATCAAATTGGGTTTAAAATCTAGTTCATCAAGGTTGGGGAGGTTAATGGAGTAAACTTTATTCTCCTCATTCAGTTCTTAGACAGTGGTGTGGTGCCTCATGGAAGTGACAAATCTTCATATAGACTACTGAAGCCATAGCTGAGGGACCTTCTTCATCTGCCTTGCACTGAAGACTTCTGGGCATTAAGTCTACTGGCCCAGGAATATTTATAGATTTTTATGATAACCTTGGCTCCAAAGAAAGATTAGTATTTCTTACTGTCCTGTAACACCCCAGCCTGGCGCCTATACAGCCAGCTGTACTCACACAAACCATCACTTTACCTTTTGGGTAACTGCAAATTTCCTTAGTTTTATTTTCATTATTGGAGACTGCTCTACATCTAGGTGTGAGAGAAATGTCTTTGTCAATTAGCATTTTCTTTATGTACTCTTTTGCTATTCAAGTGTTTACAGTATGTTACTATTTTTTATTATGTTAAATGTAAAATCAGTTTGTCAGTTAGGTTCACCATCTTCTCCAAATTTATCTCATTAGTTTCGCAACTTTGCCTTTCACTTACAGTACATTTGTT